CGCCCCAGAGCATGCACTGCACACCTTGCCATATCCCTCACACCTGCCATCCCACCATGCCCTCACAACCTCCTGCCATCCCTCACTTGCCCTGCTCCCCCCGCTCACTTGCTCTCGCTTCCCCTCTCCCCAACCCCAACTCCCCCCCTCCCCTTGCGCAGGTGCCAGCTTCCCTCCTGTCGCCAAGACGAAGACACTTGGCTTGCAATGTGTAGAGTGGTAGGGATTGATGAATCTGATTACGTTAGGAACATAAATGTATTGCTTGTTAGTATATATGCAGGGGTGAGGGGGGGAGTGCAGGTTTGGTTTGGGCCAGGTTTTGGATATGAAAGAGTGGCAGAAACGGAAACAGGGAGTAGATGCGTTGCCACCTGCTTGTGTTCAGCCATGCGCAGGGGCATGACAATGAGGGAGGAAGAAGAGAGAGAAAAACAGACGCACAAGGAGGGAGCGCATGTGCCATTTTCTCCTGTCGACAACATGAGGCTATTTGCTACGACGCGTTAGAGTGATAGATGACTTATAGATTTGATGACCTAGCGAATATGAATGTATGTGCTTGTTATTAGATACCGCAGGCGGGCAGAGAAAGGGGGGAGGGGCGAGGGAAAAGGGAGGGGAGTGGGGAGCAGAAGCAGAACAGAAGAGGGAGTGGTGGATGAGCTCCTGGCTCTATCTGGTGCTTTTGTGCGGCGCCCCTCCCCTGGTTGGCCATGCCATGCCATGCCATGCCATGCCATGCCATGCCATGCCATGCCATGCCATGCCAATGCCCCGGGAGGGATATGATAGATAGGAAGCACAAAGTAGAAGCAGAAGCAGGAATGTGATATGACAGGGAGCAGATATGCCATGGGCCATGCCCAGGATGTCCAGGGCGGTTCGAGGGGGGCTGTTGAGGGGCTGTGAGGAGAATTGGGGGGTAGGGGGGCCTTAGGGGGCCTTGGGGGGGCTGTGGGGGGTGTTTTTTCAGGATTTTAGGGGGGTTTTCTTCCCCTCTCTTGTACCCCATTTCTGCTTATTAACCAATCACAAGCAAGCTTTCTGCCAATCACCTTTCCGATTACGCTCATGTTGTCGCCTTGCCGCCTGAGGAGGGGGAGGGGAGTAAGGGGGGAAGGGAGAGGAGAGCAGAAGGGAGAGCAAGGGGGGATGAGAGAGACGATATGCGCTGCTTGTTTTGATTTGCACACAGAAGGAGAGTGGTGAGAAGGAGAGTGAGAGAAGGAGGGGTGTGATGAAGGGAAGTGTGAGAAGGAGTGCCATACATGAAGTACTCGGTATCTTGGGGCAGCTGCAAAGCAGAAGCGTTGCAAGGAATGTGATCAAGATGATCCAGGGTGGTCCGGGGCCCTCCTCCGGAAATACGTATTCAAGATGTTGATCAGAGTGGGAGCCAGGGCAGTGTATGTAAGGGTGTGGTGTATGTAGGGGTGGGGGAGGCAGGTGCAAACGTAGGGGATAATGCGTGACAGAAACTGAAGGGATAGTGAGAATTGAAATCAAAGAGGGGTAGAAGAAGAAAACTGGGCACAAGTTCACTACAGGTAGGCAGGATAAGTGACCAGCACAGGGGGGTGAAGTGACAAGGGCAGGGGGGTGAAGTGACAAGGGCAGGGGGGTGAAGTGACAAGGCAAGGGGGGGTGAAGTGACAAGGGCAGGGGGGGTGAAGGTACAAGGGCAGGGGGGTGAAGTGACAAGGGCAGGGGGTGAAGTGATGAGACGTGCTTTCCTCACACCCACTGCCCCACACCCCACTGCCCCACACCCACTGCCCCACACCCACTGCCCCACAACCCACTGCCCCACACCCCCACTGCCTCACTCCCACTGCCCCACACCCACTGCCCCACACCCACTGCCCCACACCCACTGCCTCACACCCACTGCCCCACACCCACTGCCCCACACCCACTGCCCCACACCCACCTGCCCCACACCCACTGCCCCACACCCACTGCCCCACACCCACTGCCCCACACCCACTGCCCCACACCCACTGCCCCACACCCACTACCCCACACCCACCGAGTGGCTGACTGCTGGGTGGCCTTGCATGCCGCAGCACCGCCTCTGCCAAATCACACGGCGACACCCTTCCTCTGCTCCCCCCCTGCCTCCCTTTCTCCCCCTCCCCTCCCTGTCCCTCCTTCTCCGGTTCCTTCTCTCCTCCTCCTGTAACCTCTTCCTCCTGCTCTTTCTCCTGCTCCTTTTCCCCGGCCTTATCCCCCTCCTTCCCCTCCTTGTCTCCTTCACCCTTCTCCTCCTCCTTTTCCCCTTCCTCCGTCTTCCCCACCTCCTCCTTCTCACCCTCCTCCTACCTTCTCCTCTCCCTCCTCCAACTGCTTTCCTCCCTTCTCTCCCTTCCCCCCCTTCCTGGCATCCTCTCTAATCCTCACGAACAGCAGTGCCTTGCACCCAGACTCCACACTCACGAACCGAGGCTGAGGGACGTCAAGGGGCGGGCGGAATGGTAGGGGCAAGGGGAGGGAGAAAGACGAGTGGAGGGAGAAAGACGAGCGGAGGGAGAGGAGACGTGATTGGAAATTGCACTGGAGCATTCTCACGAACAGCAGCGCCTTGCACCCAGAGTCCACACTCGCGAACCAAGGCTGTGGGATGTCGAGGGGAGGGCGAACAGCAGGGGCAAGGGGAGGGAGAAAGAAGCGAGCAGAGAAAGGGGAGTGAGAGGGAGAGGGAGGGGTGATGATGGATCCTCAGAAACAGCGGCGCCTTGCACCTAGACTCCACACATCACAACCGAGGCTGAGAGGGAAGGGGAGGGACAAGACGAGGGACAAAGGAAAAAAAAAAACGTTTTTTCTCAAACAGCAGTGCCTTGCACCCAGACTCCACACTCACAAACCGAGGCTGAGGGATGTCAAGGGGCGGGCGAACAGGAGGGGCGAGGGGAGGGCAAACGGTAGGGGCAAGGGGAGGGAGAAAGACGATGGGAGAGAGAGGAGGAGACGATAAGGGTTTCCACTTAGCATTCTCGCAAACAGCGGCGTCTTGCAGCCAGCAAGAGTCCAAACAGCAGCGCCTTGCAGCCAGCGAGACTCCACACCCGAAGTGAGACCAGGTGAGAAGCGTTCAGTCAGGTGACTTTGAGTCGACTCAAAAGTCACCAGGTGAGAGCGTTCAGGACAAGGGGAGGGACAAGACGAGGGGCAAGGGGAGGAAGAGGGAGGGAAAAGAGGATTGCGAGAGAGGGAAGTGATGGGTGTTTGTGCTGGGCATTTATGCGAACAGCACGCCTTGCACCCAGACTACACACTCATGAACCGAGGCTGAGGGCCATGCACAAGAGAAGGTAGGGAGAGAGAAAGGAGGGAACAAGGAGGCCGAGGATGCACAAGGGGAACAAACAGGGGCAACTGGTAGCCTGAGACGTCTCAAAACAGGGGCACCTGGTAGCCTGAGACGTCTCAAAACCAGGGGGCACGCTGGTAGCCTGAGACGTCTCAAAACAGGGGGCACCTGGTAGCCTGAGACGTCTCAAAACAGGGGCACCTGGTAGCCTGAGGTCACGATTGCAATCGAGCCTGGGGGACACAGGGAGAGGGAGGGATACGAGGGGAGGGAGTGGAGGGAGATAAGGGGAGGGTGAAGGAACAACAAGGGGAAAGGAGGGAAAAGGCACCCACCTACCCATCCCCACGCACCTGTGAGCCGCTGCAAAACACACACACCTGTTTCCTCAACCCCTCTTCCACACGCACGCACCTGTTTCTTGAGTGCTGCCACTTCATTCGCCAGCAGCGCATCGATGGACGAACCCCCCTTCGCCTTCCCTGCAGATGCACCTTCCCAGTCCGTGCCTCCCCCTCCCCCTCCCCCTGCGCCTTGCCAGCCTCCAGCTTGTCACACCACTGTGTGTGGGGCAAACAGGGATAAAGCAACATCATCTCAGTCAGATAAGCCCTCCCAGCCACCTTCCCCAGTGCTTGCCTCCCCCTCAGCCCGCACCTTCATGGGCACCAGATTGTCGCTCAACGGTGTGTGGGGCAAGCAGTGGAGATGGAAGGAGTAGGAACAACATCAGCTCAGTTAGAAAAGCCCTCCCCAGCCACCTTCCCCAGTGCTTGCCTCACCCTACCCGTTCCTCTGCGCCTTGCTGCCTCCAGCTTGTCACACCACTGTGTGTGGGGGCGAACAGAGGAGAAAGCAACATCAGCTCAGTCAGATAAGCCCTCCCCAGCCACCTTCCCCAGTGCTTGCCTCCCCCTCAGCCCGGGCCTTCACGGGCACCAGCTTGCCGCCGCACAACGGCGTGTGGGCAAGCAGGGGAGATGGAAGGAAGAAAAGCAAAAACAGCTCAGTCAGATAGGCCCTCCCACAACCACTTTCCCCAGTGCTTGCCCAGTCATCTATCTACCTACCCTCCAGGTTCTATCGTTTTGCCTGTGCGCTCCACTCACCTCCTTTGCCACCTAACCTCATCAAGCTGATCCCCTGTGCATGTCACCTCACAAGCTGATCTCCTGATCACCTCTTACCACCCCCCCCACCCCTCCTCTCCCTCACTGTGTGCTCGTGCCTCACCTCATCGAGCACGTTCACAATCTCCCGCCCGCACTCTCTCTCCCTGCCGGTCGCACTCGACACCAGCCACCCCCTGCTGCCATTCGCGATAGGGCCCGCTCCCCTCCACTCTGAGGCGCACGAGAGGGAGGCGCCGAAGAGGGAAGGAGGAGGAATCAAGGAACAATTTACTTTGTTTCGACTCCAACACAACAAGCCCGCACTCTCTCTCCCTGCTGGTCACACTCCACACCAGCCACCCCCTGTTGCCATTCGCGATGGGGCCCGCTCCCCCTCCACTCTGAGGCGCACGAGAGGGAGGAGCAGAAGGGGGAGGGGCCACGAGGGGGGAGGGGCGGAGCAGAAGGAGCAGAGGGGGGAGGAGCAGAAGACGGAGGAGCAGAGGGGGGAGGAGAAGAATGGGGAGGAGGAGAAGGGGGAGGAGGAGAAATGAGGGAGGGGAGAAGGGTGAGGAGGAACAGCAGGTCGGGGGCACAGAAGGGAGAGGAGGAGAGGAGCAGAAGGGGGGGGAGCAGAAGTAAGAAACGGTTGCAAACCACCTCCAATCCCTCCCCCTGCCAGCCCCCTTGCTGCCATACATTCTGGCGCCGCCCTTCTCCCCATTCTGGATCATAGGGTTTTAGGGTGAAGGAGCAAAGGAAGAAACAATCGATCCTTCACCTGCACTCTCGCTCCCTGCCTGCTGCTGCCCGCCGCCACTTCGAAAGAGGAGATCGAGGTTGGGGTTTTTGGTGCATGGGAGAGAGCGAGCAACAACAAAGGGTTTCGGGTTTTGGGTGCATGGGAGAGAGCGAGCAACAACCAAGAGTTTCGGGTTTTGGTTGCATGGCAACGGAGATTCGTGGGCCGGGATGTGGGAGGGAAGAGAGACCGGCGGGGGTGGGGGGGAGGGGAAGGGGGACAGCAGGGGTGGGGGGAGGGGAAGGGGGACAGCGGGCGACACGGGCCGGACGGGTGAGGACCAGAGGAGAGAGGCGACGGGGGGGAAAATCCGCTCTGTGTAAGACCAAGTGCTTAAAAGCGATATCAGGACCAGAGGGGAGAGGCGACAGCGGAAAAATCTGCTCTGTGTAAACCTAAGTGATCAAGGCGATCTGAGGACCAGAGGGGAGAGGCGGCGCCGTGGGAGCACACGATGGGAGGAGGAGAAGAGAAGGGGGGAGGGAAGACGGAGGTGTGTGCGCGAGCGGGAGGAGAGGGCACGAAAGGAAAGGGGGGGAAGGGGTTGAAGAGGAAGGGCGGGAAGTGGGGCGGATCGGGCTGGTGAGCGCACGCCGCCGCGGAGATCACAGCGGCGACGCCGCCAAGATCATAGCAGCGGCGACGCGCAACGGATGCTGCCGCGACTCGCGACCCGAAACGCGACTGAACGCGCCTGCAGAATTGTCGCTGATTATCGTCGTTATTCGTCTGTCAGCCAAGAAAAACATTGGTACACGCCTGCCGGCGGTTTATGTTGACTAATGCGTCGCGACATAAGTTTAAAGGCTCACAGCGTTCAGGTATCGCGACTTGTGCCGCTTCGATTTCCCCCGACCTCCATTACCGCTCCGATTGCCCTCCGCCTCGCGCTTTCCGCGACCCATGTGCGATTGTATGGCCGTGGCTACTGATCAAACGAGAGAAACGCTCAATGGCTGATTTGCATATCAACACAAAGTACACAACCAAACACAATCGCAGTCAGGACCAGTAGCACAAACCTTCCAATCATTGTTTGATCAGCGGGCTCAATACCCGCCTGGACCTTTTGTTTTATCCACCTCTCAAGGCTCCGTTTCCATTCAAATCTTATCTAAAGGTGTTTTCTTACTGCTCTGGGGCATTCTTCTTTCATATCATACTCGTCGTCGCATCCCTTCTTGTTGTAAGCCTCAGCCATCTTGACTGGTTTTTTCCGGACGTGCTTGTCGTCTACACCTTCATTGTGTTGCTTCGTTGGTGTAGAAGATTTTTCTTTACTGGCACACCCTCGACCACCACACTGGCACGCCCCATGCCCTGTCACCTCACCCATGTGCTCTACAGTAGGGCTACTGGCGTCACGCCCCACCACCAGCACCAGGCTATCAACAGCGAGTCCAGCACCCACACACCCCGTGCCCTGCTCTGCTGCACCACTCACCTGCTCTGCCGCACCACTCACCTGCTCTGCTGCACCACTCACCTGCTCTGCTGCACCACTCACCTGCTCTGCTGCCACCACTCACCTGCTCTGCCGCACCACTCACCTGCTCTGCTGCACCACTCACCTGCTCTGCTGCACCACTCACCTGCTCTGCTGCACCACTCACCTGCTCTGCTGCACCACTCACCTGCTCTGCCGCACCACTCACCTGCTCTGCCGCACCACTCACCTGCTCTGCCGCACCACTCACCCTGCTCTGCTGCACCACTCACCTGCTCTGCCGCACCACTCACCTGCTCTGGCTGCCGCACCACTCACCTGCTCTGCCGCACCACTCACCTGCTCTGCTGCACCACTCACGCTGCTCTGCTGCACCACTCACCTGGCTCTGCTGCACCACTGACCTGCTCTGCTGACGCACTCAACTGCTCTGCCGCACCACTCACCTGCTCTGCCGCACCACACTCACCTGCTCTGCCGCACCACTCACCTGCTCTGCCGCACCACTCACCTGCTCTGCCGCACCACTCACCTGCTCTGCCGCACCACTCACCTGCTCTGCCGCACCACTCACCTGCTCTGGCCGCACCACTCACCTGCTGCACCACTCACCTGCTCTGCCGCACCACTCAGCTGCCTGCTGCACACTCACCTGCTCTGTCTGCCGCACCCACCACTGCTCTGCCGCACCACTCACCTGCTCTGCCGCACCACTCACCTGCTCTGCCGCACCACTCACCTGCTCTGCTTGCACCACTGACCTGCTCTGCCGCACCACTCACCTGCTCTGCCGCCACATTCTCTTGCGCAACACCCACCTGCTCTGCCGCACCACTCACCTGCTCTGCCGCACCACTCAATCCTGCTCTGCCGCACCACTCACCTGCTCTGCTGCACCACTCACCTGCTCTGCCGCACCACTCACCTGCTCTGCCGCACCACTCACCTGCTCTGCTGCACACTCACCTGCTCTTGCCGCACCACTCACCTGCTCTGCCGCACCACTCACCTGCTCTGCCGCACCACTCACCTGCTCTGCTGCCACCACTCACCTGCTCTGCCGCACCACTCATCTGCTCTGCTGCTAACCACTCACCTGCTCTGCCGCACCACTCACCTGCTCTGCCGCACCACTCACCTGCTCTGCCGCACCACTCACCTGCTCTGCCGCACCACTCACCTGCTCTGCCGCACCACTCACCTGCTCTGCCGCACCACTCACCTGCTCTGCCGCACCACTCACCTGCTCTGCCGCACCACTCACCTGCTCTGCCCGCACCACTCACCTGCTCTGCCGCAACACTCACCTGCTCTGCCGCCCACTCACCTGCTCTGCCGCACCACTCACCTGCTCTGCCGCACCACTCACCTGCTCTGCCGCACCACTCACCTGCTCTGCCGCACCACTCACCTGCTCTGCCGCACCACTCACCTGCTCTGCCGCACCACTCACCTGCTCTGCCGCACCACTCACCTGCTCTGCCGCACCACTCACCTGCTCTGCCGCACCACTCACACTGCTCTGCCGCACCACTCACCTGCTCTGCCGCACCACTCCCTGCTCTGCCGCACCACTCACTGCTCTGCCGCACCACTCACCTGCTCTGCCGCACCACTCACCTGCTCTGCCGCACCACTCACCTGCTCTGCCGCACCACTCACCTGCTCTGCCGCACCACTCACCTGCTCTGCCGCACCACTCACCTGCTCTGCCGCACCACTCACCTGCTCTGCCGCACCACTCACCTGCTCTGCCGCACCACTCACCTGCTCTGCCGCACCACTCACCTGCTCTGCCGCACCACTCACCTGCTCTGCCGCACCACTCACCTGCTCTGCCGCACCACTCACCTGCTCTGCCGCACCACTCACCTGCTCTGCCGCACCACTCACCTGCTCTGCCGCACCACTCACCTGCTCTGCCGCACCACTCACCTGCTCTGCCGCACCACTCACCTGCTCTGCCGCACCACTCACCTGCTCTGCCGCACCACTCACCTGCTCTGCCGCACCACTCACCTGCTCTGCCGCACCACTCACCTGCTCTGCCGCACCACTCACCTGCTCTGCTGCACCACTCACCTGCTCTGCCGCACCACTCACCTGCTCTGCCGCACCACTCACCTGCTCTGCTGCACCACTCACCTGCTCTGCTGCACCACTCACCTGCTCTCGGGCATCTCTGCACCCCCTAAACCTCCTTAACAACTGAGGCTCAACACCCTTTCTCTTCCTTGCACCTCCATCACTCCCTCTATGTCGCTCGCTGCCCTTCGTGTCTCTCTCTTTCTATCCCAGCCCAATGGTGGAAGTGAAGCTTGTCCCGGTCAGCATCCAACCAATCAATCTGTTGGCGTAACCACGGTGCTGAATGGCGAAATTCGGTCACACTTGACGATCAGTCGAGCAAGAGCGATTGTCCCCGGCGAGACGATATCAACGGCTCTCTTTGCGCGGGCAAAGAAAAAGGTCGGTCGTACGAGTGCGTACGCGTTGGTGCATGTACGGTTATGTACATATGCGTCGCGTACGAGTGTGTACGGTAGGTAGACGCACTACGTGCATGAAGGCATACGTACGCATGCATACGTATGTCTACGCGCATCTAGGTTAAACAGGTAGGTACCAGACATGCGAGTATTCATGCGTATACGCATGCAGATGCGCACGTTCCTTAATATTCAGCTCATTATTCCAGAGCTAATTTGTCATTGATTTGTTGACCTACATGCATAAGCTCCAGATTACACAAATAGATTTGTCAACTAACATGTGTAGCTTGTAAATCAGCAAAATCAATTCTGTTTACTGCCATGTGGAAAGCTGTAGTTTTGCAAGATACTGTTTTGCTGTTCTCGTTTTGGGCACAGCTGACGAGCGAAACCTATTCGCGCTGCGAATTTGTCACTGTAAATGCTGGCACATTCACTTTGGGTCGCGCTCGCTGTATCGGAGTGTCGGACTGCATATACGCAGGGCACCCAAACCGACTTTCCGACTTTGTCACTGCGCTGCCGACGTAGCACTGTGCAGAACGCTACTTCAGTACATCCACTTTGCACCACGAACCCACGTTCGTTCAGGGGGACCAAGCAAGCCAGAAGGTGCACGAAACGTGATGTGAGTGGGCTGGGCTCACAATCGCTCACCTAACTCCCACTCCCGTTTTTCAGACCTCGATTCTTATCATCCGCCACTCTATCTCAACTCAACATCCGAGCCTCTCTTCTAGATCGCCCTCCGCCATGGGGCATGGCATCACCATTTCGTAAGCCTGCTTTCTTAGTCGCAGTCACGCTATCGTAGTTTAGTTTTTCGTGATTTCGTTTGCTATTTTTTTTTTTTCCAGATCTCGTTTCAATCTCAAGCCATTCTACTCAAGAGCGCAGCCTCTCTTTTGGATCGCCATCCGCCATGGGCCATGGCATTAGTATTTCGTAAGCCCGCTTTCTTACTCACGCTATCTTCAGTCTTGTTTCCAGTAATTTCGTTTTCTTCGTAGATTCCCTCTTCTTAGCTCCGTTTGTTCCGATTTCTGCTTGTCCTTGTTCGTGCTGACGTGTGCATGGTCATGGCAGGCACGCTGCAGCCAGCACAAGCTCGTCATCTGCCGTTCCAGGAGCCAGCAGCAATGCGGCATTCCACATCCAAAATCTGCCACCAAACATGGCGATTTCCGTTTAGCTCTGCTTCAGGGCGCCGATGCCACGCCGCTGTCACGCCGATTGCCATGCCGCTGACACGCCAACGACAACGACGGCGCTGCTCATGGCGCTCTGGAGAACGTTGAGACATCCAGGCCACCCTCTCCCCTCCCCTTTCTGCCAGGTACCAGTGCAGCGCTTGCCCATTTGAGCATGTCTCACCCACCCCCTCCCCTCTTTCCCCACTTCCCCCCTTCTGCCAGGTGCCTTCCCATGCCCTGCATGGTGCCTTCTCATGCCCTGCCCGGTAAATTCTCATGCCCTGCATGGTGCCTTGGCATGCCCTGCCAGGTGCATTCGCATTCCCTGCATGGTGAATTTCATTTCCTGCCAGGTAAGGGGGTAAGGGGGTTTAGGGTGCTCCCCCCGCTCACTTGCCCTGCTCCCCCCGCTCACTTGCTCTGCTCCCCCACCCCAACTCCTCCCCTCCCCTTG